TCAAGAATTGGCAGAACAAGGCAATCCATGTAGAACTGGAAAATAGTGACTCTGAAAACGAAGAACCCAAAAAATTTCTCTACAGATTTCCTTAGTAAAAGTTTGGTAACAATAACCAAAATCATTGATCAAATTGTAGTGAATGATCTAGATTTTGAAGAGTGCAAAAGCAAAACAAGGCATTTTCGATGCAATCTTCTGCTACTGACATTTGCTTAAGGAAAAAAGTGACAAATGAAACTTCAGGACTTTATTGCAAAAACAAGAATTTCAGAAAAGTCAGATCCTTCGTCATAAAAAATGAACTAATTAATATAAAGTATTATTATACGTTTGGACGTTTTCCCCTAAAGCATAATTTTTTAATCGAATTAAAAAATAATAATTAACTTAACTAAATTTAAAAGTTATTTGTTTTTTATAAAAATGTTGGAATCGACAACTGAATTTTTAAAAAAATTAAAAGCTTAATTAAGATTTCTGTTTGAGATTATTTCCTAACAAAATTCACAATTTAAGGATTTGTCATTGTTTTTATTATAATTCGTGCACTTTTCCTCAATTTTGTAATTAACGAGTATAATTTGATATACAGGAGTATATTAAATTCGTTGTAAAACATTTTTAGTTGTTTATAAAAATATTTCTAAAAATACAAAAGAAATTAATTTTGTATTAATTTTCATTTTATTTTATATTTTATTTTTTTTTAACATTTTTTAACACATTGTTTGATTTTGTACTACGGCCACGTGGATTTAGGGCAACAATAAACATGTGATGTCTAATGAAATCAGCAGTTCTCAAATATTGCAATATTTACATCGTTCCGATTTGCATTATTTAAAACGATAATGATATTTGAGATAAGCGAGAGTTTAAAATTGAGAATAAGAATTGAGAATTCTTAGTTTTTCTTTTGTAATTGGTGCTAGAATACACATAAATGAGATTTTTAAGTAAATAGCTTATTCAGAAATGCAGTCATGGCTAAAATCTAGACGATCGTATTCATCACTACAATATGATGACGATTTTAAGGTAAACTATCTAATTTTCAAATCGGATATTTGTTTATTTCACAATAACAATAATGAAACATGAATCTGGATAAATGGAGAATTTCAGATAAAATTAAAAATCATATTTGAATAAAAAAATAAATTTCAATAATGAAAATTATGGTTTCTAATTATTTTATTAGTTATTCTGTGATAGCAAACAGAAAAAATAAAGTAAGTGCACAGATTGGCTCTGTAAAATCTTATCCAAATCTGTATATTTTTTATCAAAATATAGCCTGTAAGCCTTATAACATTGAAAAGAAAGTATTGAAAATAATAATATATGAAATAATTAGAGAATATTATATCTGTGAAGGTATTAATGGTTTTATAATCATATAAGAGTAATGATTAGATGAATTATGAGCGAATGAATGAAATTTTATTAAATTTACTGTAAACAGTATTAAACTATAAAGTATGGACTCTTAATAAATCCTGTAATTGTTATAAAATAGCATAGGATGTGACTATATCAGTAAATGATAATTTAACGTGTAGTTCAGGATTATTTTGTATGACTGCTATTTTTTCCTGATTAATTAATAAGATGCAGCTTGCATATGTGCATAAAATGTATTGTTTTTCTGGAAAGATAATACATGCTAAAAATATCTGTCTGAAAAGTAAGAATGATTTTACAAAGACAGAAAAACCCACTACCCAATCAGCCACTGATAGGAAGCTGTATATGGTTATTTACTGATATGAGATGTCAAAAATTACTCTTATTCATTTGCTGGCATGATTGTGGCCATGATTTGACACATAATTGAGGATAATTTGAGGATAATTGACAGATATTTTGACAGAGATAAAACTGTTAAAATTTTGACAGAGATAATTGACAGAAATAAAACTGGTCTTTTACCATATAAAGGTTTTGATGGATATGTGATTATTATTCACATTCAATATACTATGATCACTATATTTCATTTGTGACCCTTGCGTTTCGTCAACGTGTCAGTTATCTTCATAACTCAATGCTACAGACATATGACTTAATTGTACAACTGTGGTGCAAAATAAAGTGCTTCAGTATGGATTATGCATATCCTGGATATATTATTTGTGCTACAGACGTGTGACTATATTACAAGTGTTTGTGCTGCAGGCAAGTATCTTTAATAGAGCCTTGTGTCCTTGTATCATCAATTACATATGGTC